CGTTGACCAGCTCCAGTACCAGTGATGGCGACGGTGGTCGGCTGTGGCCGTTCTCCCGGTTGGGAAGATGAAGAGTTCAATCAAATGGAGTAATATTAGTTCATATAGATAGGAATTTCAGTTTCCAAGTGGAAATTGGACTTATATATGACCATAATAGTTGAATTTATTTTCCTATTTTATTGTAGTTAATATAAATACGCATGATAATTAATTTGGTTGTTTTATTTGCATGGTAAAATAATTATGTTAATTGCATGTTTAGAAAAATTTCTTATTTGTAAAATATAAAGCGGGAGGCTCTTCCACCTTACGGGGTGTTTCTTTTAAAAAAAAAATATTAAGTGGAAGAGGAAATTTCTAATTAATAAGAGAATTAATTATTTATTCTCACGACCTCCATTACAGGTTTGTTTGATGATGCAATAAGTTTCCGCGTGGTCTTAGATTTTCCACCTCCATATCGGATGAATTTATTGTGGATCATCGAAAACGAATTTCTTTTGGGTTGGTTATACGAAATTATTTTGGGGCACACGTACCTCTCCATCTGTAGGTCGTGTAATCCTGATTAATGGACTTGGTAGCATGTAATTGGTCACACTTAAAAAATATAAATTTTAGTATCCTTCCCATCGGAGTCTCTGCTATGTTTATATTTGGCCGAAGATATATCGACTATTAGTTTTATTTGTCAAAAAGTTAAGTTGGCATGATAGTTGCATATAATTGGTAACTATCATATAAAAATTAGGAAAATTTGAGAAAATTACAAATTATACGTAACTATCTTAATAATTATTTTTTAAAAAAGTAAAGTTAAAATTTGAGAAAATTTGATATGTATACAAATATTTATGTCAGATTTTGTATGTCTGCAAATAAAAAATTATGTTGGCATACATGTAATATTTTATATTTTAGTTAGTACATGGAATAATTTTTATTTTTTTTTTCTCGATAGGATCTCATATAATCACAACCAAAGACCGGCTACTCATATAATCACAACCAAAGACCGGCATACATGTAATATTTTATATTTTAGTTAGTACATGGGGTAATTTTTTTTTTTTTTTT